TTTAAACTCACCTTTACCAGCACGGCTTCTAATCTTCTCCAAACCCGACATAACAGCAGCTTCAATCGCAGCCGGATCTTTCTCATTATCCTCTTTCGTACTCAAGAAATTCCTACACTGGAAAGTCAGGTGCCCAACACGACCACACTTCTTACAAGAGCCACGAGCCTCGTCATTGTTGGAACCGGTGATACGGGCAAGAGCCAAAAGACCTTGAAAGCTGGCATACGAGTTCTCAGGATCTTCAGATTTCTGCTGAGTCGTCTTTGGCTCTTCTTTGCTTGTAGGTGCATAAGGATCATACCCAATCGCACTCTGCCATATTCCGTGAGTCTGAAGCGCCGCACTACTATGCACCCGATTGTTTGCGGGCATACGCACTCTTCCTGCGGTGGCCGGCATCTTCTCGAAGCCCTAAAACTCTTCACGACCTAACCAAAACAAACAGATAGAAACGTTTACAAAATCAATATCTCCGCAATAGAATTTCAATCGATTATCCAAATTAGACTGAAACCCCAAATCATCAAACAAACCTAGAAGTTTCGAGCGAAAACCAGATTAGAAAGAAATCTAAGGTTTCAAAGCTCCAAATCATCAATACCCAAATACAAATCCGCCGATTCTAGGGCTCCAATGGATTCAAATGCGTCAAATTATGTTTTAAACTCGAAATCATCAAAAACCTAGATACAAATCTGCCGATTCCAAGTGATAAATTCTAGGGTTCCAAATGAAATCAAGATCCTGACGGTAACAGTATGAAATGAAGGAGAAGAATAAATGGTTTACCAGATCCGCAGGAAGAAAGACTTAGCACGAAGCGCCGGAGAGATGCGGAGCTCGGTTTCGGATTGAACGAGAGAAGCGAAAAGGAAAGATAGTAAAGTCCGAGGGCAAATTATACAGATCCGGAAATAATTGGAACCGACTTCAACTTTTACCATTTTACATTTATGTCCCAAATTCTTGAGTTTTTCGTTACTTTACCCACCTATTAGGGACCTGCCCATAATTTATTTTTATTTTTTTTGACAACCAAACTATATAAGACTCAAAAAACACCATCAGAATTGGTAATCCAATTAGGCGGCAAGTTACTTACATACAAAAAACCAAAGACTCGGGTTCGTGCAGAACGGACTAAACAATCCGCCTTTAAATTACTAGAACGAAAAACAAAAGATAATGAAAAACTCGGAATACGGTCTTCGATGCTCCGGATTTGGTCTGACAAAATTGAGAAACTTTTTTTTCTTTTGCTAAACAATTTTATTCATATCCAAAATACAAAAATTTATTATTACAAAAATAAAAAAATATGCGTCACTTTTTTAAAGATGATATAAACTAAAAAAAATGAATTTGACAATACATTTAAAACTTTTTTCATTTTTTTTTTCACAAATTTTATTCATTATTAAATTATTAAATATGTTAATTTTCTTTTCATAAATCAATTTTTTTATACAAAAGTTGTGTGTGGCCATCTTCTCTTTACAAGCACTCTAAATTGCATATCACATTATAATGCTTTAATATAACTATGCTTTCATATAACTATGCTTTCATTAGTAGCTCCGAACATTCGACAATTTGGTACCATTCTGTATCAAAATCATTTTACATAATATCGACTTTAGTTTCCTCTTTAATCGATCCCAATAAAAAATAAATCTTATGATTCCAACCATTGTAACTTGTAAGATTGATGTTGATTTCCTTCCTTTATCTTTATGTATCCACGTAACCGTAAGTTATATCCCAGACTTCCAGATTCCGACTAAATTAATCATTTTGAATTTAAATCGAATGAGAATATCTGACTAATTTAAATCTCGAATTTAAATTTTATGCAATTGAAATCATTAAAATTTTATCTAA